TATATATATATATATAACTACATTGAAATAACATGCACATTTGATACAAATCATATCTCTAATTTATGGGTAAAAGAAGGCAACACTTCTCGCAAGCTTCCCCAATCACCAGCTTCGTTGTCGATCGGTCATTTTTCAGAGTCAAACATGGCTCTGATATCAAACTTGGTGCAGTTTGGGTCTACCGGCTTGAAAGAAAATGTGGAAAAGTGAAAACCGAGGGAAACATAATAACTGTGCTACTTTTCATATATATGATGTTGTAACTGTGAAAGTTTAGATGTGATAAAGTTAAATATTAAAATTTTTGGTGCTATGTATGCAAAAGCCTCTAAATTCTATGTTGATATCTTGAAGACAAAAATAAGCTGAGAAACTATAATTAATACTAATACTAACTAAATAGATAAGGCACATTAATATCATATTTAATATTAATTATTATGAATATTAAATTAAAATTTTTAGTGAGACAAATAGCATGTAAATTTATTTTTATTTTCATATAAAAATTTATTTAATTTTTCTCTCAATTCAACCAAATTAGGTAGGGTAATAAACGAAACTTAAATGATGTTTGTTAATTAATTATCCACATGGTTAAATGGCAATTTTTTCTCAGCTATTTTGATCATCTGTAAAGTCGTTTGGACGTTTTAATTGAAGTAAAACTTTTGTTATTTAGTTATTTGCCTTGATTTATTGATACACATATTCGTATATAATTAATTATATTAAGCAAGTTATGGTGTTTATTTCTTTCATATGTGTTACCTCCATTAGATGCAATATATTAGTAAGGCAACTGATATTCTAATAGGGCGTCAAAAAAGCTATTTGTTCGTGAACAGCTAGTGTTTGGCTTGTTCGTTAAGTAAACGAGTCGAACACGAACAAGCTTTAAGAGCTCGAATTATAAATGAGCCGAACATATCTAACTTTAAAATGTAATTGCTCGTTTGGTAATGTGGTTATGCGTCTTCTTTTGCATTCATTTGGTCCAGGTTCGAACCCAGCACTTTACATTTATTTTCTCAGTTTAATTTTAATTAGTCAATTTCGAGCCGAACACGGACACGAATATTTAAATTGAGTCGAACACGAACACACTGTTCATGAGCCGGTTTCGAACACGAGCCGATTTCGAACACGAACAATTTCGAACGAGCCGAACACGAGCCAAGTCTGAGCTCGCTCAAGCTTGGCTCATTTACATCCCTATATTCTAATATATCAATAATGCTATGATTTCATGTATAAAATATTATAGAAATTTTTCTTGTGAAAAGTATAAGATTGTATGTCTATATGTAATGATGCGTAAGTTGCACAACCAAACCTTCACAATAGAATCTTGTTTAATATTAACTAGAAGACCAATGAAACCACTGCTTCATAAACATAAATACTTAATAATTATTTAATATTCAATATATCTTAATTTAGTAATTATATTTGTAACTGTTTTAAATTTGTCTTGATAATATGAAAGTTCTAAACCCTTCAATATTTTAATTTTGCCTTACATCTTATAAGCTCTTATTTTTCTAATGTGTTTGCATGATTAAGTATATTGTCATTTATTACAGCCATAGATGAAATATCTCATAAAAGAATAGAAACATCTAAAGCAAAGCAATTCTATATCTATTTCAACATATGTCAAGCACAATGAAAACAAGCACAGACATAGCAAAATAAGAGAATATTACATCTCGACTCTATATACAACATTACAGTACACTATTATATAACATTTATATAATAATATACAATACATTCCAACCCCTCACACACAAACTGACTGATCCAATACATACGGAAAACAATCATAAGCAAATCATATCAACCTCACACAAACATTAAAATACTTACTTTTTGTCTGTACATGTATTGTCTCAAACGGGAGCGCTTATTCTATCAGGACACCAGACTTAAATTTGTGTCTAGTCTAGTGAGCATTTGTAACATGATAAATTAGTCTCACTGTAATGCTCTGATTGGATGGGTGTCTGATAGAATAATTTTTCCTCATACAGAGGAACGAATGGCGCGGCTGTAGCCGGTCTTAATGTCATAATACCTTGACCACAGCATCACCCCGCCGTAGTTGCTGGACCCCTTCAGTACCGGAAGCACCTGAGATGTGAGCTCATGAGTCGGAATGAACCCGCTTCCAGCGGCATCAGGCGCCGCCGGCAAGCCCAGAAAGAACTGCTTCGCCTGAATCCCCTTCGTCCATTGGTTCCAAGCATCCTCGAGATTTCTCGGCCGTTTTTCCGAAAACTGACACGGGGGGTTGTTGTAGAACTGAACCCAAACGTAGTCGAACAGACCGGTGTCGAGCGCTTTGCCAACCCAAGCATCCGGATACGGGCATTGCGGCGCCGCCGTTAGGTGCACCTTCTTCCCCTGTTTGGTGTAGGAGGAAAGGTATTTAGCGAGGTCGTCGTAGTGGTCCGGGCTGCCTCCCTCAATGTCGAAGTCCACTCCGTCGAGCACCGCGTTGCCGAGCGGTCGGGATGAGGAGTGGCCGCCTAAGTAGTTGTTGAAGATATAGTCAGCCACCTGGCGAGCATCGTGTTGGGAGGTGAGGAGGTAGGATCCAGCGCCGCCGCCAATGGAGAGGAGGACTTTCTTGGATTGGGAGGAGTGGATGTCGTCGGATAGGCCGGTGCAGCCGCCGGAGGAGGGGTCGCAGTGGCCGGCGAGGTTGAGGACGGGTGTCTGGCCGTTGCCGAAGACGCAGAGGAAGGAGATGATGGCAAAGGCGTAGTTTTTGGTGGAGCAGGCGTCGGAGAGGGATCCTTCGCCGTCGGATTGACCCCAGTAGACGGCTATGTCGCCGGCATGGGAGGCGGCGAAAAGAGCGGTGGTGATTAGCAGGACGGAGAAAAATGGCTTCATTTTTCTCTGTGAAGTTGGGCGCTTCGGTTGCTGTTCTGCTAGTTATTGTGAACTGCATTTCAAGGTAGACCTTTTATGGTTATATAGAGAGAGCGAGAGAGAAGAGTGGGGGACGACGAACTCTGCGTGCATCTGCTTTCTGAATTAGTAAATTGATGGAGCAGAGCTTGCCGCCCCGAGTACGTTGGTTTTCATTTTCTCTGCTAGTGCTGATAATTTTAATTATTAGTTATTTGATTATATAATATATTTGGGGTTGGATGTTCTTATTAACTTTGCACTTTTTTTTTATATATAACTAAATATGCCATAAAGATATATATTCACATGCGTACGTAGTGAGATTATTATTTTATTATTATTATTATATTATTATTGTATTTTAATTTGCACCTTACATAGGTCACAAAGTTAAGAACAGTCATTAATAGAAGGAGACCTTGTGTAAATAGTAATGCTCAAATAATGGGGTTAAGCATGTAAAGCTTATATTGGCATATAATTTTTATTTTATATGTAAAGGCATTATAGAAACATTAATGGAAATAAGTATTAGAATAATGATGTGTGATAGTGTAAGGTTATGGCTCCGTTTGGGGCAATTGCAACTTATTAAGAAGTTGTTGTGAAGCTACGAAAAAATAATTTGATATTGCAAAAAGTTTCAATCGCCATTATAATTTTTTTTTAAGAAAAAAGTTACACATCAGCTAGAAAGCTCCCACCGCACCCAGTCAGGAGCGGTGAGAAAATGCTGATTTCAGCGTCTGTGTCATTGAACTTCTCGATCCCAAATGTTATCACATCGTCTACGTCTATCGTTCTTCCTTATATCCAAACCAAAGCTCTGATATCATTTGTTGTGAAAAACGACGACAATAAAATGAAAAATGGAACGATAAAAATTGCACGCAGAAAAAGCACCAGAGCGACACAAAAATTTACGTGGTTCGGTAAATTTGTCTATGTCCACGGAGTTGCAGAGGATATTATTTCTTAGAGGAATTACACCGTCGAGCGTCTTGAGTTTACAAAAAAAAATTTAATTTCTTCTCTCTCTTCCTCTCTCTCTCTCTCTTTCTCTCTTTCTTTTTTAGAGGACTTGACTTGTTTATGACAAGCCATAAGAGGCTATTCATAGAAACCAGGAGAGCGGTATATCAGCAGTAGGTGGATTCTTAATTAGAAAGCTAATTAATATGTGGTGGATCGGGTCTCCACATTACCCAACAATTATTTGGTTATACTCTTAAATTTGGTTTTTGAGAATTACTTCGGTTTCTTATTGTTGGATATGACTCATATACCATAAAGGGACAGATTCTAGAGCAGAGCAGAGCGGAAGATTCAGTCCAAATCAGGGGAGTTTCCTTATGTGGGTTGGGGGTGAGGTACAGGGGTAATTTGGTAATTACATATTGTACTATAGGGTTTTCTAGGGTTATAAATAGGCATGTATGTAACCCTGTGTTATCTCAAATTCTGTAATCTCTTTTCTGAATATTGAAAGAAATTTGCCGCTCTTCTCCCGAGGACGTAGGCATTTTTGTCGAACCTCGTTAAATCTTTGTGTTCTTCTGGATTTGTGTCAATTCATATTTTTCTTCGCCCTAATTTCTCAACAAGTGGTATCAGTGCGAGGTTGGAGGGCATAGAATTTTTCGGTGCAGGAAGAAAGAAGATTTGAAGAAAATTTGGCGGCTAGGTTTCAAGGATTCGGGCTTCTGCAAATTACGAGAGTTTGGCGAAGCTTCGGAGGATTCGGCGCAAGAAGAACGACGACAGAGGGGTTCACAATCTTGGACGGTTCGGAGACAAAGGGCTTGCGACGGATCCAATAGTTCGCGAGATCAGGCGAGAGATAAAAGTTGTTCGCGCGGGAGTTCCTGTTCGCGATTCGCTGGGACGGAGCGCAGCATGAAGGAATCTGGAAGAATATTCTCCTGAATTTTCTTCGAAGGAATTTCCTTTACTGCGGTTTAATTAAAGAAAATTGGTCTCATTTTATTCTTTCGTTGGAGGTATTTCTTTGCAAAATCTCACCGAACACAGGCAGAAAAGGCAAGCAATATGTGAAGAATCTTGAAGGAATTTTCACAAAAAGTTCGCGACAGGATTAATTTTCAAATGTCATTATATTATGCAAAATTCGAGGTGGTGAAGTTCGATGGGACTGGTAACTTCTAATTGTGATAAACAAGGGTAAAAGGTCTGTTGGCGCAACAGAGAATCTTTAAGGTTTTGCGGGCCATGAAACCAAATGCCATGGAGGATGAAGATTATGAAGAATTGCAACAACGAGCGGCGACAACTATACACTTATGTCTGACAGATGATGTTACGTATCACGTGATGAATTTGAAATTTCCAGAGGAGATATGGAAGAAATTGGAAACTTAGTTTATGGCTAAATCTCAAATTTATGGCTAAATCTCTGACGAATAAATTATATCTGAAGCAAAAGTTGCATGGGCTGAAGATGCAAAAAGGTTCTGATCTGGCGAAGCATGTTAATGGTTTCAATCAAATAATCACAGATTTATCACTGCTTGATGTGACTATTGAGGATGATGACCGAGCAATGATTTTATTGTGTTCGCTGTCTTCTTCCTATGAACACCTGGTGACTACTCTTACATATGTGAAAAAAACTATCAAAGTTGATGAGATTATTACAACATTGTTGGATCACAACCAGTGGAAGAAGAATGTAGGGGAAAACTCTCATGACGACAGTTTATATGTTAAGGATGACGACAGTTTATATATGACGACAGTTTATATGTTAAGGGTAAGCAGGATAGTGGAAGGAAGAAAGAAAATGAGGGTTTTGGAAGGCGAAATTCCAGATCAAAGTCAAGAGGCAAAAAAGACAATTCATTGTTACAATTGCATGGAGTCTGGTAATATGAAAAGAGATTGTCCAAAGCTCAAGAAGTAGACCGGGTAGAAAGGTGATGGATCATTGAAATCTGTAAATGTGGCGCAAAATGATAATTCAGATTGCAGTGATGGCGATATGTTTTCAGTTTCATCAACTCAGTTCACAGATGCATGGATTCTTGATTCAGGATGTTCTTATCACATAACATATAACAGAAAGTGGTTTACTTCATACAGGTCAACTAATTCTGACTCAGTTTATCTAGGAGATGATAATTGGTATTGGAGAAGTCAGAAATAAGATGTATGATGATACAATTAGAACATTATGTGATGTCAGACATATTCCAGATATGAAGAAGAATCTGATTTCCTTGGACACTTTACACAGAAATGGCTTTACTCCTAAAGCAGGTGAGGATAGAGAAACCATCAGAATTATTAAGGGTGCACTGACGGTGATGAAAGGAAAGTTAACTGCAGGCAATATCTATAAACTGTTGGGGAGTTGAGTTGTAGGTGGAGTTTATTCTGTGGAGTAAGATGATTATAGTACAAAGCTATTGCATATGCGTCTTGGTCATCTCAGTGAACGTGAGATGACAAAATTGCATAGAAGAAATCTGTTGCATGGTGTTAAAAGATGCAAGCTCGATCTTTGTAAGTTCAATGTTCTTGAAAAACAGACTAGAGTCAGTTTTATGACTGGAAAGCACAAAATTGAAAGAATTCTTGATTATGTGCATTCTGATGTATGAGGCCCTACTAGAGAATCGTCATTGAGAGGATCTCAGTATTTTGTTACCTTTATTGATAATTTCTCCATGAAAATTTGGGTGTATTTCTTAAAGAATAAATCTGAAGTCTTATCTAAATTTAAGTTGTGGAAAGCTAAGGTGGAGAACTAAATTGGCAGAAAGATCAAGTATTTGAGATCCGATAATGACACAATGTACACAACCTTGTAGTTTCAGAAGTTCTGTGAGGAGCATAGGATTTAGAGGCATTTTTCAGTGCACAAGACACCACATCAGAATGGTGTGGCAGAAAGGATGAAAAGGACCTTAACTGAAAGGGCAAGATGCTTGAGACTGAATGTAGGGCTTCCTAAGAGTTTATGGGCAGAGGCTGTGAATATCACATGTTATCTCATCAATAGATCACCTCGGGCATTATTGGGTGGCAAGGTCGCAGAAGAGGTATGGACAGGTAATCCAGTTAATTTCGATCATTTACAGATTTTTGGTTGTCCTGCTTATGTGCATGTACCTGGATATGAAAGATCAAAACTTGATGCAAAACCCAAGAAGTGCATCTTTTTGGGCTATAAGAAAGGTGTGAAAACATATAAGTTTTGGGATCCGATTGCAAAGAAGATGATGATCAGCAGAGATACAACTTTTTATGAATAGTCCATGTTACAGTAAAATGAAGACAAGATGCAAGGGACAAGTTTCAGTTCAGATGCAGTGCAGATGGATTTAGAATAACATCCAGAAACAACTGTGAGAGTTGAAAGTTCAAATCCAACACCTGGTGATTCCATTCCAGATGATCTGCAGCATTATAATCTAGTCAGAGATAGACAGAGACGCACAAATATGAGAACTCATAGCATATTGGGTTATGAAAACTTGGTCTCTTGTGTACTTCTTATCAGTAGCGATGATCCAACAACTTTTTAAGGAGCTATCATTAACTAGGAGAAAGAGAAATGGATGGGTGCAATGGTTGAGGAGATGAAGACTTTGTAGAGAAATCACACACTTCCTGGAGTAAAGAAGGTTATTGGTTGCAAGTGATTGTACAAAAAGAAAACAGGAGTATCAGAAAAATAAGGGGAAAAGTCAAAGGCTTGACTGGTAGCAAAGAAATTTTCATAGCAGAAGGAGATAAATTATCATGAAATCTTTTCTCCTATGGTCAGACATACTTCAATCAGGGCAGTGCTTGCATTAGTAGCCACTTGGGGTTTGCATTTGGAGCAGATGGATGTTAAAACTACTTTCTTGCATGGTGATCTAAAGGAGCACATTTACATTGAACAACCAGAAGGGTTCACTCAACCTGGACAGGAGCATCTGATTTGTAAGTTAAAAAAATCGTTGTATGGGTTGAAACAGTCTCCAAGACTATGATACAAGTGATTTGACTCTTACATGATTTAGATTTGCTACAAGAGATGTGAGTATGATTGTTGTATTTATGTGAAGAGTTTTGATGATCGTTCTATTATTTTTCTGTTATTGTATGTTGATTATATACTAATTGCTGCAAATAATATGAATGATGTCCGTGGTTTGAAATCTTTATTGAGTCAGAAATTTGACATAAATAACTTGGGTCCTACGAAGAAGACTCTTGTAATGGATATTCATCGAGACAGAGACTCAACTCAATACAATTATGGTTATCTCAACGATGCTATGTTGAGAAAGTGTTGGACAAGTTTGAGATAAGCGAAGTAAAGCCCGTAAGCACCCATTTGGCAAATCATTTTAAGCTTTCTTTAGAACAGTGTCCTAAGAAAGATACAGAAATTGAATACATGACAAATGTTCCATATGTCAGTGTAATTGGTTGTTTAATGTATGCAATGTTATGTACTCGTTCTGATTTGGCTCGTGCTGTTAGTCAAGTATGCAAATACATGGCTAAACCTGGAAGGCGACATTGGGAAACAATCAAGTAGATTTTCAGGTATCTCTAGCTATAGGACATAAAATTATTTTTGGCAGTCAGCAGGATGATCTTTCAGTTGTAGGGTGACCAGAAGTAAATATGTTGAGATTTTCATACCTATTTTATACTGTTTTTGATGATATTGCACTTTAAAGAAATGTATTTTTGATGTTTTGTTGCAAGAATGATGAATTAGGGCCATTGAAACAAAAAGATACAAAAAGGAGCGAATTTGGAGCGAAAATGAAAAAAATGTGCAAAATTGAACTAGGGTGCCGACGGCGAAATTTTCCCGAGACTCCAAAATTAATTCATTAAGAAGGTCCGCCGACGGTGCCCTCGAGGTCTCTGACGGCGAGCTCGGCGGTTATGCCCAATCAGGCTTTGGATAAAGCCAAAATTTGAAGGGGCTTGGACAACTCTTGAGAAAGCTCATCCACAACTTTAAAAGAATGTTTTGGCCGAAAATTGAAGAGGAAGAAATGCTAGAGAGAGTTCCTGAAGGTTAGAAAGGTTCAATAATGTGTAAAAATTGTGAGGAATTCTTCGAGAGATTGTAAGAGTGGAGAGAAAGTGAGAGATTTCTTTTTCCTTGCTGCTTCGAAGAGGAATTCTGTGTGTTGTAAAGAAAGGAAGAGATTCAGAGGAGCTTTGATGAGTGTTCTTGGGGAGAAATTAGAGATAAATTATTTACTTGTTGTAGTTTGTATGACTTTGATTTTTATATATATATATATACTTCTTAAGTAGACCAACATGAGCTCTTCACATTATTTTTTTTTTATAGAGATTCATTATTTTTATTTTAATTCAAAAAATAATTGATTATTTATTTTATAATAAAGAAGCAACTTCAAAAAATTTAGAAATTCACATTACATTTTTTTTTGGTTGCTACCTAGCCCCAAATTAACCTCGCGACTTCTCCTTCTTCCCTCGGAAACCCTCGCAGAAAGCTGCGAATTCTCCTACCTCCCTCCTGTCCGAAATCCCCGCTGACAGCCGCAACTGGTGGAAGGAAAAGACGGGGTGGCCGTGCTCGAAGAAGAAGAAGAACACCAAAAGTCCATTCTCTCTCCCACTTCTGCTCTGTTCCCGCGTGAGAAATCGCGAAGGTAACCTTGTTTTTCCTCCCACGCGCCTTTGCGCGTTTCAAATTGTTTAAATATCATAAATTCAAATTTTAACAAGGTTTATAAGTCCGGCATTGGAATCGGGATTTAGGGGCTGTCTGGCAGCGGATTTATTATAATTTTTGCTGTTTGGTAGGATTTAGGTTAAATCCTGCTACCAAACAGCCTCTTAGGTCTAGTTAAAGAGCTCCACTTTTCCTTCACCGATCTTTTTGGCCATGGCCGGGAAGAAGCGGAAGCAGCAACTGCAGCAGCAGCAGAAGCCACAACACCGATTGGCTCTCGACGCTGATGATGACTCCGTGGTGTCGAAGAAGATCGCACGGCACTCTAAGCAACATCAGAAAGGAGATAAGGCAATCTTTTATATTTCTATATTTTCCCTTCTCCGTTTCTTTCTTCCCCTCTCACAAAATGACATTTCTCAATTTTTATTTTTCTCTTATGGGCACAGATGATATCTTCTGATCTTAGCTCGAAGATCCTTAAGGAGTCTCTTAATCAGCAGAAAGAAATTCTCCGGGAAGAAGAGGCGGAGCTGGACCATGCGGCATTCTCACAAGTAGACAACTCCGATCCGGAGGAAAAGAGCGACGACGGAAGTTACGATTTTGATGGGTTCTCGGAAACCATAAGTGCGCACGATTTGGGTGTAGTAAGTTCCAATAGATCTTTCTATGTCTTCATCGCTTGTTAATTTGGTAAATTTGATTGGGAAAATTTCTTATAGGAAGAGATCAATGAGGAAGATGAAGCGGCTTTAGCAGCTTTCTTTGGAAATGATGCTGGTCCGCAGCTCACACTCTCGGATATCATTATCAAGAAAATTAAGGAAAAGGACGTGCAGGCTTCCTCTGGTTTGTTCTCTGTTCATCGTCATGTACTCCTGATAATTGTGAAATGGTATTTAATTGACTTTTTCTTAGAATGCGTTTTTTAGCAGACTGACGCAGCCAATCAGCTGTGACATATTCCATATCTACAAACGGCTGTCTATTTTAAATTTAAGTATAGCATAGTAGGTATCAATTATTTTGCAATTCATATGATTTCTTATCAACATACAATTCTACATTTCTTTTGTTAAAGATATTGAGAGACATGAATTTATTTTTTTGTGAGGCATTTAGATGCATACCACCCAAATCTTATGTATTTATATATCGAGTACCTAAAATTTACTTATATTATTTATACCAACCATATCTTTCATATTACATAAAAAAATACCAGTATTTTTTCTTTTAAAAAAATGAAATACACCTTTTCATCCATAGGTAAGGTGGCATGCATGTAAAAATTGAAGTTTTGATGTTAGATATATAATTACATAGGAATTGAGTGGTATGCATTTAAATTTTCCTTCTGTTTTTGTAACTGATAACCAATTTACTCAATCACATTGCAGAAGAGAGGCCCATGCCAATGTTTGATGATGGTGTTATAGACATATACAAAAAGTATTCGCTCTTGCACTTGACCCCTCATCATCACTTCCCACTCTCTTCCATTTTCCCTTCACCCCCCAACTCTTCCTCTTCAACTTTTCTTCTCTTAGTTTTGGTATTTATGATTTTGGTTTCTAAGGAAATACAATATATATGGCATTGTAGAGTTGGAAACGTGCTCAGTAGATACACAAGCGGTAAAGTGCCAAAGGCGCTTCAACGCATTGCAATTATGGAACGATGGGAAGAAATTCTTTATATAACTGAACCTGAGAAATGGTCCCCAAATGCAATGTATCAAGCTACAAGAATATTTGCATCGAGGTTAAACCCGAAGAAGGCTCAAAGGTTTTACAAGCTCGTGATACTCCCTCGTGTTAGAGAAGAAATTCAAAAGAACAAACGGCTTCATCGTGCTCTTTATGAAGCATTAAAGAAGAGCCTCTACAAGCCGGCTGGGTTTTTTAAGGGCATTTTATTTCCGTTATGTCAGGTATGCAACTTTTTTTTTGGTTAGTTATGGATAATTATTCCATTACATTGTATTGAACTTAGTAGTTCCTCTATATAATTATTGCATTGCAGATGAATTTGAAGTTAGCATTGTCTCCATTAGAGCATTGCTTCATATTTAAAACTTCCTTGTATCCACCTTTTTTTTCTCCCTAATTTTTGTTTTCATTAGTTAGCATGTTTTCATATATAATTGTTTGTTGTGGTTTCTTACGAAGTGATTTAAAACTCCATTATTGAACAGTTATAGTAGCTTAGTGATAAACTTGTGGTTGAAATATCTTATTTTTTGGCAAATGATCCCTATATTTAGACAATACTTTTAAACTGCGTGCAGTCACAAACATGCAGCCTTATAGAAGCACACATTATTGGAAGTATAATTCAAAAAGTATCAATACCACCGCTTCATTCAAGGTATGTACTGCATGATGCATTATTTCTGCTTTTATGCTTTGGGGAAACACCTGTGCTGATAAACTATTTTGGAAGATTTACATACACACCACAAAATTCATATGTATTTACATATCTGTCACTTAAACTTCAATTGTTTTCATACATGCCACCAGACCTATGCATGAAAAGTTGTATTTCACTTTTAAAATGTTAAAGTGTTGGTATTTTTGATGTGATATGAAATATTTGGGTGCTATAAATTTAAAAGTTAAAGTTCTGGTTTTAGATTCCTCAATACATAGGAGTTGGGTGGTATGTAAACTCTTCGGCTATTTTTCAGGGTTTCTAACAGTTAGACTGACTAATTGCTTTACTTGTGTGAGCTAACAGTGTAGCATTGATGACTTTAGCAGACATGAATTACTATGGTACAACTAGGTATGCACTTTTTTCAGTTTTAAACTATTTTTTGCTTGATCCATTCTCTGCGACCATACTTTCATTTTTTTAATCGGTATGTCAAGAAATCCTGAAATTTTCACGAATTAGAAAGTTTCACCTTTCAGAAATGAGAGACTGTATGAATTATCTTAATTTTAAGACCATCCTGGATTCAAAAGAAATTTGCTGATTTTATTTGAAAAAATGCATTACAATTCTTGTTTTCATTTTGAAACTTTGATTGAAAAAGAAGATTGGAATGCTTGGATGCTCCTCTCCAAAATTTACTTAACTTTGGAGAGGAGCATAATTTTCATTTTGAAACTTAACTCACCATTTCTTTTTCATTAATAAATGTCTTGCTTGCATAACCATAATTTGGTATGCTACTAAAAATTTAAACATTATGACTTATGTTTCGCCAACCTTGGCATCTATGTCTCAAGATATTGGGGTTTATTGGAAGGGAGTATGATCCACGTCTTTCATCTTCCTTGCTTTCAATGGATTCAGCTCCTTTTTTTTTTGTCCTTCTATAGCTGGGAAAGAAAATTCGTTCTAGTTTCGTGAAATATGGTTCATGTTGTAGCTTATTTAAGCTTATGCAGACAATGATGCTTGTGCACATGTTATTTAGCAAATCTGGATGCTGATGGTGGACATAAGCACTACACAATGTACATGGATGCAATATAGCTTGACCAATATACCTTGTTAGTGATACAAATTTACATACTGTAGAATACACTATTTAATCAAAAGTGCAAAACATATATTAAAAAAAAATGCTAGCTCTTGGAAGGTCCAAATATGAAGTTCGATTATACTTATTATCAATGGCAAAAAGCTCATCAAGGGAAAATCAATTCCAAATCAACTCGGCATTAAATATCAAAATCCCATCAGTCCTACCATCTAAAGCAAATATTCTCTTACACTAATCTTTTGGCAAAAACTTACATCATCTATTTGTTACCCCCTGGGGTATTATGGCCCAACTCCAATTCTAAAAGTATGATCTTTGATCCACAATTGTCTTATATATTGAAGGATCAGAATGTTCCCAATTAAAGGGTTTCTTATTTATTATGAATCTCAAAAATGAAATATATACTTCATCTATTGTATGCCTCTCCAAAATTACCAATTATTCTATGCCCAAAAAACTAGGAATACTCTTCAAGGAAGGTTAATCAGTTAATTCAAATTCTCCTTTCCTTCTTAAAAGGTCCTGTGAAGCTATCTTTGTCCTTTCTTTGTAGAAGTTTGCTAGCTCGAGCGCCATGCTATCTTCTTGGGGGTTTACTTGCCTTTTTTTTGGTTGTGTAGCGAATTATTGCTATGAAAGACATACCCTAACTATCATTTAATTATTATAACATATGATCCTAATTAGTTGTAAATTAAATTGTTTAAAATTATTAGTCTAACCAACTATGCATATATACTAAATTAATTTTATTAATTAAGCTAATAAGGCATCAATGCTGGGAATAATAAATATTTGAATGCTGAATTATTAGATTGATTTTTTAAATAGCAATTAGAATACAATTCTTGCATGTAATTTACAATACTTTTCATGCAGGCATTACTTCATGATTTGGATTGGAAGTTGTCTTATAATTGGTCTTCCAAGATGTTAATTGATGATCAACATAGTAGCTAACAATTAACATATTAATTTAGCTTAAGTACTAGGAAAACTATTATAGGAAAATACATATAGAAATTGAATATGAAAGAACTGTGATTGCACAAAATAGGAACTATGAAGCTCTCTTCAGTCTCATTTTTGGAACCCATTTCCAATAACTTTTGGACATTTACATCCGACAAGAATTGATCTTAATTTGTAGATTCGTATTGGGTCTATTATTCATAGTACTGTCAAAATGGGGCTTCTATTGCACAATGAGGGCTTCTTTTCCTAAGTTAGAAAAGTGAATCTCACACACACACACACACGTTGTATTATTTGGGCAAATTGGGTAGAATTTAAATTAGTGCATTTATTGTTAAATTGGCATACTGAGCTATTATTTCTGCTATATCATTTATCTTTATTTTTACATTCATTTCATGTAATGCAGCTTTTTCATAAAGCTACTTGTTGAGAAGAAATATGCGCTGCCGTATCGAGTACTTGATGCTCTAGTCGCACATTTTATGAGATTCCTCGAAGATGAAAGAGCTATGCCTGTAATTTGGCATCAAACACTTCTTGCTTTTGTACAAAGGTTAGATACATGAACTGTTATTAGAAGGATTGTTTTTTTTAGCTTCTTAAAATTTATATCTTATTCTGAAATTTAATTGCTGGATTTCATTAGGGTAATTTGATTCTTATTTTGGTTTCTGTTTTCTGCTACCGAGCACTAATGATACTTAAAACATTTAACCTTATTTAATGAATTACGGACTGTTAACTGATAACAGAACGGAAATCAAATTTTGATGCATACTCGCCGCATATTGTCTTAAATATCGAGTTGTGTATTTTATGTTCTTTCTGAGTAAAGTGCAAAAAGAGTCCCCTCACTATTTATATGGGGTTCTTTTAGTCTCATAGTTTATAAAAGTGCTAATTAGTCCACAGAATTTTTAATGAGAGCTAAAATAGTCCCCATTTGGTGGGGACTATTTCAACCCATGTTAACAGGGTCTGGGGACTAAATACAGTTTTATAAACTCTGATATTAAAGTAACCTCTTGCAAAGAGTTAGGGGGTCATTTTGACACACCTCTATTCTTTCATTTGTACCAAGTTTCTTTTGGTGTGTTTCTGCTAGTACTGGAAATTTCGCATGGCCCTTTAGTTTTAATGAAGTTCCTTTGTATGGAGTGCTTATTATAATACTGGTCCCTTTAAAATTGCTTAAGGTTTTTTCACACAGCAGGGAAAAACTTATGAGAACATGCATTGGAGAAAACTGGTTAATGTAGAAAAAACCATTTCAAATGCTTTTTTTTGTTTGTAAATGAAGTTATTGTTTAAACTTCACTTTTTACATGTTAGAACAAAGAATGTTTTAAGGTATTGTTTATACTTTACTGTTTAGAAGTTGCTAAGTAAGCTGATAAATTATTGTAGGTACAAAAATGAGTTGACAAAGGCAGATAAGAATAATCTGGACCGCTTATTGCAACATCAAAAACATTATTTGGTATTAGTGTCATTCATGCTTTAATCAGCCTCTTCTTTTTGTTTGGATCTCTCCACGAATAATGAATATGACAATGTTTGGAATTATTTTATGCTTAGGTTACACCTGAAATCCGCAGAGAACTGAAAAATAGCAGACTCAGAGGCGAGAAAGGCGATATAACATCACAAGATATCCTTTTTATTAGTTAAGGCAATTCAATAATGTCTTGTTTGTATATCTGTCACTATGTTTGTAGCTTAATGAATGTGCTGCCTATATAGTAAAAAGATGACTATACAGCTATATTTGTGGAATCGTGTTTATATCACAAACTCAAAGTGGTAGATTTGATGTTCTTGGGATAAGCTATATTAGATGTAGGGATGTCTATTTGGGTTAGCGGGTTGGCATGATGTAAAATTGATTGACCCGAACCCGACACAAAATTTAAGTGGGTGAGAAAGTTCAACCTGAACTTAACCCCCTTCAATCCGCTAAGTCGCCCGACCTATATAACCCATTTAACATAAGACATAATACCTATTCAGGTCAAATTTGAGTCAATCTTAGGTCAACATGTTGATTTTTATGCCTAGTCCCTTTTTTCAATAGTCTTTATTTTCTAATTTTTTAGTCATTTTCTTTTGATGATATATGATAATATTAGATTAATGCTCAAAGATTCGAGGAATCAAAGCAAATTAATATTGTGGGTCAATGTTGACCTCATTTTTTAGTATCATTGTTCTTCCGTTATGTAAGTCTAGCCTTAAGTCTAGCCTTCTTTCTAGTGTTGTTAGGCGGTTGGTCTTGGCCCGACTTAGGGCATTGGTTGACTGAGATGGCTTGAGTTTGGTTCGAATTAAAATTAAAATTTAATACAAATTTAAATCTAATTAAATCAACCCAAATTAAAACTTAAATTTAAACTAAATTTAACTTAATATAAAATGAACCTAAGTAAAAAGTAAAATAAGTTTCAATATAAATCTAAATTAATTTTTATTCAACTCAAAACATTAATTCTAAATGTTTAATCACATAAATTCAAAATGCTTAATCAAAATAAAATACTAAATCAAGGCTATACATAAATTCAAACTCTGATTTGAATACCAATTTAAAATCAGCTTTCACCTAAATTTAATCTAAATTAAATCAGTCTAAATTTAATGAAAGAAAATAAACTCATATTTAATCCTAAACACAAACATCAATCTAAAACATTATCAATTCAACTTGAATTCAATCCAACTTAATGTTAAAAAAAAATAAACTAATCATAATTAAAGTAAAATATAAACTGAAAACCTTAACATAATCTGCAATCTAATTATTATCAATATAACTTAAATGTGAGATTAAACTTAAACATGAACATCAAAACTAGAATTAAACTCAAACTAAAATAAATTTAAAATTTAAAAACTAACTAAAATTTAAATAAAACAAAATCTAAATTTAAAGTAAATTAAATTTAAATTTAAAATACAAACAAGTTTTGAAATAAAGCTACAATCATCATCGCAATCACAAAATCAACCAACCTAACTCAAGTTTAGAGTTAGTGACCTAACAATTCTTCTAACGTGTGTAGGGGTGTAAACGAGCCGAACACGAGCGAACTTATATTTCGAGCTCAAAAAGTGTGTTCGTGTTCGGCTCGTTTGCTTAAGGAGCCGAACACGAGCTGTTCACGAACAAAGAGTCCTTTTAACAACCCTAATCATGTAGCCATAAGACAATAAGAATTTGAGCAAAATTTAAAAATTATTATTTATATTAAAACATCATTTGAATCTAATTTAATAATTTTTATTCTATTTTCTTAATCAATATTTTAATTGATTATAAATCTTTGTAGTCTTGTAGTCAATTAAATACTTTTATATATATATATATATATATA